AAAAAAAAAAAAAAAAAAAAAAAAAAAAAAAAAAAAAAAAAAAAAAAAAAAAAAAAAAAAAAAAGAAAAGAAGAAAACAACAATATGAAAAAAAAAAAATTTTAAATATCTCATCTAAATTTATATTATCTATATGACTTTCCAACTCAATAAGCTGAACACACAACTGGTTTTTCTCCTGAACGACTCGCCAATGCTCCTTATCTCTCCTCCAATTTTCTTCTACCGACTCTGTATCCCAAAACTGAATTTCTTCCAACTCTGCTTCCAACAATACAACTCTTCTTCTTAAGGACCTGACTTCACGCCACAATCTAATATAAATTACAAATTAATATCTTATTTAAGGCTTTTATAAAGATTTATGAATATCTACCTTCTATTTTGGTCCTGCACCTCACCAAGAGCTTCATAAAAAGCCTCATTTCCATTACGACGAGCATAATGAACAGTGCAAGAGATACAAGTACGAGATATTTTATTATTAGTATTATTATTATTATTATTATTATTTATTGTTGAAGTTGATAAAAAAAAAAAAAAAAAAAATTATTATTATTACAAATATATATAATAGAAATTTTAACGAAAAAAAAAAAAAAAAAAAAAAACTTGCTGTTCTTGAATTCTATTCATTCTTTCCCTTTCCATAAAATCCCCTCTTCAACAATATGCTTAATTTAGTTAAAAACCTTGATATTATTTTCTAGATTTTTGTATTCTGTTTATTATTTTCGTCGGGCACAATATTATAGTGGAGGTTGTGATGATTATATGCAGGTGATAGAGCATATGATACTTTTCTTTATTATTTTGCTTCTTTGTTTATTTTATTTTTAGATTATTTCTATTTTTGTTTATTTCTTTGGACATTATGCTGGGAACAATTAGTCAAAATAAGGTTGAAGCATGTAGTGTTATATTTGGAAATTTTGTGTTATTTTTGGTATATTTTTGGTATATTTTGATAGAATATACAAATTTGGATAATGGAAATCACTAGAACAATTATAACATGTGACGAAAGCAAAAAAAATAATGGAGCAAAACTAACTTATCGAAACAATATAGAAACTTAAAGAAGAATAAGGAAAATTTTCATTGTTTATGAGAAAATTAAGAAAATTTACAGAAACTTTTAAAAATTTTTAGAAAAAGGAAGAGATTATAATGAAGACAACAAAAAAATCTCTATAAAAAGAGCTTATTTCTGCCTTGCTCTACTAAAAACAAAAATTAAGAAAATACAAACTCAAAACCAAAGAAGCAGAAAAAAAAAGGACCCAAACTAAGAAGATCTAGAAGAAGAAGAAACCAAAAAAGAAATGGCCCAACTCTCTGGAATAACTAGACTAATGGCTGAACAACTTCAACATGAATTACAAAAATTGGATCCAACTTTAATTATGATAATCACTCCCAAAGAAATTATTTATCAAGGCAAAACTCAAGTAATACAAGCCCCTTTGAAGCTTACTGATGCTTAGAAGATTCGACAAAAATTGCCTCTATATATCAAGGATCTTCAAAAACCTATTACAAGTGCTGGCCTACAAGACATAGTAGAAGTTTTTGACCATTCCTGGGAAGATAAGGTGCGATCTATTTGCAAGAAGATTAAATGCTTCGAGAATGAAAATAAGGCCATTTATCAATCTTTAGAATAGTGCTATCGACTTGGTGAACTTCTTTGTATAAGAAGTTGGAGTGAGAATACTTTAAACTTTTTAATACAAGAAGTTGGCTCTCAAAAAAGACCTGAAGTATTTCGAGTAGCAAAAAGGACCTTTGAGCTATACAATGCTCGAGGAATCTGAAATCTGTATCAAGCAGAAAAGATAAGTTACAGAATCTTAGCTTATATGTATGACTCTGATTTTGAGGTGCTAAAACAAGAAGCTTATTGTGTTTACTTAGAAGAAGCTGGCGATTCTACTATTCCTGACATGTTTTAAAAATATTTGCAGAAGCTCATATTTTAAGGAGAGGATAATGTTATTGATATTATCTGACTTTTCTTTTTTGTATTTTCTTTTGTTATTTGTTTTTATTTTGATATTAGTTTAGTATTGTTTGTAAATAGTTTTAGTATTTTTTTTTAGTTTATTTAGTTTTGATTAGTTTTGTTTATTTTGTTTTGATATGTTTATTTGTTTATTTGTTATATGTTTATTTGTTTTTATTTGTTTATATAGAAAAAGAAAGTCATGGAATATTATAGAAAGATTTGAAGGGTAAAGGGAAGTTATAGAAAGTCACAGAATAATTTAGAAACATTATGAACAATTTAGAAACAAAACAAAGAGTTGCATAATATATAAAACATCTCAAACATCATCCAAAACACCACGAGCACCATGTAAACAAAATATTATTAGTTCTTCTAAACACCACAAACACCACCTTTGGTTTTGAAGATTTGAGCTTTAAAAAGATATAAATATGACCTCTCCCCTGCCTCTTAAGAACAATAACAATAACAATAACAAGAACAATAACAATAACAAGAACAGGAACAATAACAAGAATAAAAGAATTGAAATAAAAAAATATACTCTTGCAATCCCTTCTACAATACAACTTTTATAAATATATTCTTTTTTAAAAATATTCTTGCAATAACACCCTTAAACCTCCTTTTAAATATTCGTTTTTCTTGTTAAAACACTACTTCAATATTCCTATATTTTATTATCTTTACCTCTAGGCAACCTCTTGACACTTTTCTTTATCATTTTCTTTTTATTAAATAGTTTTTAGTTGGAATTTGAATTTTTGTTTAGTTGATTGTGTTTTTATTTGTTTTTGTTTGTTTAACTAGTGCCTTATTTGATAAAGAGAAAACCTTCTGCTACCAACAACTTGCAGATTAATAAAGAACCGTTGCAACAATACTAATTGTTTGTTTTAAAAGTTTTGAGCATTAAAAATAAAGTGGCCATTATTTAAATTAGTTAGAAGTTTGCTAAGAATTTATTTTTGTAAATATTTGATAATTTGTTATTTAATGTGATTATATAGAAGGTTAATTTATATATATTTATATTTTATTTATACTATTTTTATGTAATAGTGATTATAAGCAGATTGTAATTATATATAGGGATTTTTATAAGTAAAAACTTTGTATTAAAAATTTGTATGATTATATAGGAGTTGTAATTATAGAGGAGGTAATTATAGAGAAGTAAGACTGTATCAAAAACGTAACTATTATACGTATGCGAACAGACACCAAATACAGAAATTATATTTTTGATTTTACTATTATTGATGTATCAAAAATAGAACTTTTGTATTACCTTATATAAACATATAAAGTTCTCCACTATGCTCTAGACAATAAATATTAATGTATCGTAGTATTAGTATAAAACTTATTTTCCCGGGAGCATGTTTTGTAACTTAGAAGTTGTATAAAGTGTAAATATAAATAAATAATAAATGTTATGGATTATTGTAAAATTTAAATTTATTTTATATACAATTTTTAAATTTTTTTGGGCCTTTTTTGTAAGCTTTTTTTTATAGTAAGTTAGGGTTTAGAGTTAGAATTATTAATAAAAGAGTATAGGTGGATTTTGGTAGGGCTTATATTTTCAAATTAAGACTCCAAATTTTATGATGATCTGATTTCACGATAATCTGTGACAATAAATAAAGTAAAACGATCGTAATGTTAAATATAATCATTACACTAGTATAAATAAAAGAGGTCATAGTTACAGAATTTATAAAATAACAATTATTTTGTATTCTTGTCTCCATAATATAATATGCAATTGTGATCTGAAAAAAAAAAAAAATTAGTATCATGGGTTACTGTGGCTTGTTACAGACTATATTAGAAACTTAACTGGAGGCCCAATGATTATGACTCTTATAAGCCAGGATTACATCAACCTGACTATTAGAAGTAAAAAAATTCTTCTAAGCTAATTGGATTGGAAGCAGAAATGTTCTCAGAGCTGAACTCATGCATCAGAAAGTAGATACCGGGGTTTGTTATAAACCCAATAAGAGCAAAAGTAAGTAAAGGTTGATTAATTAAAAAGGTTGTAGTTTGAGATATAAATTAGGTTATAGTAGTACTCTAAAAGGTAGCTTGAAATACAGACCTAGGTGATGGCAATGCAACAGGTACTAGTTAGAAAAGATGCTACAGAACATGCAGTAAATAAATATGTAAAATATTTATTGCTCTGTTAGACTTATCTTAAGGATAGACTAGAAATAGTAAGTCCTAGAGGGGGTATTTATATGTAGTATATTATATTATAAAGTATAATAATACTGTAGTATTTATACGGCATTTTTTAGTTGTTGGATTTTGTATTTACTAACTGTTATCCGGTATTTAAAATTTTATGATTTTTATGCATATAAGTTATACATGTTATCTAAAATATTTTAAATCTGTTCTGGATTTAAAATATATCTGAACAATGCATGTAACTCATATGCATAAAAATTTAAAATCCCAAATGCTAGTCAATAGTTGGTATGCAAATCCAACAAATATAAATGCCATATAATCCAGTTATTAAAGCACAAAGCAACTCATAAATACAGTACTATAGTATTCAAATTCTAGTAAAGCGCTATTGTGCTTTATTAAAATTTGAATACTATAATACTTTACCAGTATTTGCGCATATGATCTGATTAGTCGAATTTTGTGCACCTTTGGTGCTTAAAAATTGACCAATCAAATCACATTCTGCAAATACCTCAGTTATTCGACACTTCATGCCTCATAACTATTAAATAATAATTTGATAATCTAATAAAAAACCCTGGTCAAGAGGTCACTTTAATAACAAAAAAAAAATAAAAAAATATGAAAAATAAACACAGCACTCTCTACTCTACTTTTTTTAAATTTCAGATTAGCAAAAATAGTAATAAAATCTTTAATCATTATTATTTCTATTAATTTAAAATTGAAAAAGCAAGCAGAATAGAGGATGCTGTGCTTATTTTCTATATTTTACAGTACTTAGAATTCGTCAGGCTAATTTTTGTAATTTATGTAGATCGGACCCCAAAAATAGATTTAATTCTGGTCAAATTTGCAGATCATTTGGCCCTGGGTGATAAGTTTTAAAACTCATCACCCAGGGCCAAATGATCTGCAAATTTGACCAGAATTAAATCTTTTTGGGGTCCGATCTACATAAATCACAAAAATTAGCCCATATGTGCGTGTACAAGACACGGGTCTGGTAATATAGGAAGACTTTCTCGTGATTGGTCAATTTTATTCAATTGAATTTATACAGTTTAGAGTACTTTTACCCCCTAA